AGTTGTCGGATTAATTTCTTTCCATTTTTAGTAGAGACAGGGTCTCGCTCTTGCTCAGGCTGGTTTCGAACTCCTGAGCTCAAACAATCCACCCACCTCGGCCTCCCAGAGAGCTAGGATTACAGGCGTGAGCCACCGCGCCCGGCCAGAGAATAAGTTTTTGCAAGGTTTGAATTTACTTTGCAAGAACTCATTCTGTTAACAAAAATCTTGCATTAACTAAATGGTCCCTTTTAATTTTCAGAGTATTTCTACATACTTTTTTTTTTAAAGCATTAACATAAGCCCTGAGAGAACAAGGCATCAAAAAATTGGTCAAAGACTCAGAGATGTTTCTCTCCATGGAAATCTTTAGTAAAAGGCAAAAGATTTATACAATCTGAAGAGAAACCAGAGTATTATTTCCACATACTTAATTTTGAGTATCATAGGTACACTAGGAGAGCAAGGCATGTGCTGGTGCATACTTGTAGTCCCAGTTACTTGGGAGGCTGATGCAGGAGGATCACTTGATGCCAGGAATTTGAGGCTTTAGTGCATTAGGATCACACCTGTGAATAGCCACTGCTTTCCAGCCTGGGCATCAGGGTTTTTTAGAGACTGCATCTCTAAAAATAAACAAATAAATAAATACTCTGGGAGATAGGCTGGACAGCTATCGTCAGTCTCTAAAATTTTAGAGATTAAAAAACAGTGATGCTTACGAATATTCATTTGCTGCATCTCACGTAGCTGATGAATGACGGAGTTGGCATTTGAACCCTGGTCTTCAGTCTGTGGGGTAATGTTCTTCCCACTATTACCTAGGTCACTCACATCCTGGAACCATGTTTTTGGTGCTTCTCATCTGTATCCGTGCTTGGACCATTCTTACTTTGTAGTCTTTCTCATCTTCTGCCCTGCCAAATTTGAATACTGGATAGTTGAACAAAACCACAGTTAAGACTCTTCTCCAAGGTGCCGCATAAACATTTTGCATCCCTGTTTATAGTTATTAATAGTAAGATGAGGCATGGGCTCAGAGGGGTATAGCTGATCTGCATTTTAGGTGACAAAAGTCATTAGAGATCAGCCTAAAGTACAGCGTGTTAACTAGAAGGAACTAGGCATGAGGGCTAGACTCTGGTGTTTGGGACCTCTTTCAGTTCCCTAGAATGTTTTGAAATCTCTAATTCTTTGAGAAGTATTTGTACTAAGTAGGTTATCTTTTTACTGATCACATTTTTTGGTTGTTCTTATTTTCATTGTTTCTTCATGTAGGGGTCTTGTTCCTCGCCTCCTAGGTGACATCATTTCTCTGTGGCTCTGTAACTCACTGGCCTACCTCGTCAATACCTATGCACTGGACAGCGGGGTAGGTTGTGACCTTGGTGAGATGTGCTGGTGCTGGCTTTTT